TGTTTACATGATCGATGTGTTGAGAATGGTGGGGCGGATCTTATACAGGAAAACGATTTCCTCTGCAAAATTTTGATAATATACCCGTGTCTAACAAATAACTTCAATTTTGTCTTTTTATCAAAATCGCATTCGTTCATCCATATTTAATTATCTAGAAAATCACCTTGTCTGAAGCTTATATACATGTATAGGAAATGCATAGCCCAGATCAGAGACGTATAAAGCTACAATAACATGTAGTAAAGAAACGGGTCTCGAATAAAATTCAATATATTTTAATTAATATCAGTGGACTAAAAGATCAAGACGTGAATTAAAGATATAAATGAAAATAAATAATTATTTCAATGTTGAGAACAACGACAAAAGTGAGTTAGACGTGTAAAAACGTAAAACACGTGGATAAAAAATCTGCATCGACGCTCACCGTCTGCAACGTCATATCTTTATGACGTTATTTCTCTGTTTTAGCAAAATTGCCATAAGGCCCTTTTGTCATGGGCGCAATCATATTGTTTCTGCAATGATGGGTTTCACTAAAAGTACGGAATTAATTAGGTGTATTTTTTTAAAAATATATGCATTTTTTAAAAAGAATTTTTCTTGTTAAATACTTTCTTTAAGTATTTGTTATCAAGTGATACTTTCTATCTGTTAATCAATGATATTTTTATAAACTGTAAAAGTTTTAACTTTATACCTCCCATAGTTTTGGAGCTGTTGTAAAAATAAATTTTTGGGCATGTTGACGTTTGGTAAAACCTTAAATCGGACACTTAAACAATCTGATGGTGGATCATTGACGGGCGCCTTTGCGGAATGATACTTGCGCTATTTTACTTGAGAAAAAAAATCGAATGAAGGTGTATAGATGCCTGTAGCCATAGTGATGAAACTAAGAAATTTGCAGGCTTGCATTTGAAATAATACAATAAGTATTACCATTAGCTCCTTGAAATTTTAAAATAAAAAAAGTGTATTTAGGTGGCTTTCAATACCAGTACCATTGTCTTGCATGAATGTTAAAAATGTTTGACGCTTTTATGTATGATGGCATTTAAACTCTCCTAACCCTTCCATGTTCCTAAAACCAAATACATAAAAACTTCTCTATGCGGCACGACTTCGATATAATGATACAAAACGTGGCTATCTTTTCCAGTGAGCAGCTTCGAGGAATGTTTACCTGGAACAGTGGGTAGAATTCACGTGACTTCCGGTATTTTAAATAATTTATTCCACGGGTTGGTTCAACAAAGGTCATACAGGTAAATAGCTCTCGCATGCTATAGGAAAGAACTTTTCATACATATTTAATGATTTAAGTACAAGCCTAATCTTGTACAAATTTCCTACTTTCACACAAGTTTTATAAATGTATAATGCGTTTTTTGTCATTCGCACAAGTTTGTACAACGTTAGGCTGACAGTAAACAAGAGCTTTGAAATGAATGACTGTCCACGGTTTACTATAGAAAATCACGAATGTCGACTGACCCCTACCACATTGTATGGCTTTGCTCTTTGTATATTCATGAATTTCAGCAATGAAATTTGTTGAATCTTATGATTTAGATATCAATTAATGATTTGAGATGAAAAATTATGCTTAATTTGATTCTTCATTTTTTCACATTTTACCGGGGCCCATAAGTGCACTCGTTCTTTACAATTGTTTCTTGTTTAAAACAAAAAATAAAAACATCAAATATATTATGACAACTTATGTCTTTATTGCTGAAATGAAAAAAAAAAAGTTTTGACAAGATTAATTTCCGTTCCTCAGTAAAGAATTGACCTTGATTTGCAAACAAACACTTAATGACATGATTTTTTTTTTTTCAGAAAATGCTCCAGGGGTAATCTTTTAAAAAAAATGTTATGGCAAAGTTTTTTTTTGCAATTCTGAAAAAGACTGTACAACAAAGAGCAAGAAATAATTGACAAAATCATTTTAAATGAAATGAGACACCAATGCAAATTTATTATTCAAAAACTATTATTCAAAAAAAAAAAAAAAGAAAAAAGAAAAAAAAAAAAGAAAAAAGAAATCAATTCAAAATTTACAATTCGATGACCTAATTAACCGCCTAACTTCATGCAGCGTTAAACCTTATTATTCCACATTGATCGCATGGATATATATATATATATATATATATATATATATATATATATATATATATATATATATCTATCTATCTATCTATCTATCTATCTATCTATCTATATATATATATATATATATATATATATATATATATATATATATATATATATATGTGTGTGTGTGTGTGTGTGTGTGTGTGTGTGTGTGTGTGTATGCATAAAGCACTAAAAACCAACAACACTGTATATCCTAAGTGTCGGATCTACTAAGTAGATACAAGGTCACGGATGGAATTAAGGAATAACTGTCTTATTTTTTGGATTCATGATGTGATCAATCGAGTGGCTTGCGTGATAACTTGCATAAACGCCGAAGGCGTTTATGCATAAAATTATCACGCAAGCCAATCGATTGATCATCGTCATGAATCCAAAAAATCTGACAGTTATTCCTTATATTTACATGCTCCTGATTCTGCAAATTCCCGTGCTAATAGCCACGCTTCTGTCTCTATTTGTCCCGCCCCGCACGTGATTTTTTTTTAACCGCGCCTATCGATGAACCAGTAGATTTATGTAGAAATAAAGTATTTTTACAATTTGTAATTTTATCTCGGACAAAGACATTGGAAATGTAAATATATTTATATAAAGCACTAAAAATGACCAACGACACGAACAATAATAATTGTCAAATTTTCGGGACGACCTGTCCATTCCTCAGGACAAAGAAAAAAGTTAAGAAGTCATAAAAACAAAGGAAATAGAGAAGCCAAAAAAAAAAAAAAAAAAAAAAAAAAAAAAAAAAAAAAACTAGCACTACTACTAAACTACCAAACACTAAATATTTACAATGTTACATGTTTAATTTGGAGTTTATAAACAGTTGTGAACAAAGAAATCCGGAGCGCTATGAAGTGCGTCCGGTCTATCGAGTGTACTCTGGTGAAGTGTGATTCACATAATTGAACGAATTAATTATCGATTATTAATTACCACCAACAGTAAATCGTACATTGTCTTATTCTCTCAAAATAGCCTAACTCTACATGATAAAAAGAAATTAAAGAAAGATAATATGGATGGACAATTTTGAAATATGAATTTGGATATAATATAAATTTGGAAATCGGAAAAAGGAAATAAACAAAAATGTAAGCTGTAAATATTTGGGTAGGTTGTTGCTAGTACGAATTAACGGTAAAGATTACACTATATAGAGAGAATTAACTTGTTTGTTACAATCCGGGATTGGGTCTAGTTCACGTTCATCCTGGTGAAGTCATTAAGTTTGTTAATACCATTAGGGCCGAATGACTTCAGCCTGTGCATCCAGAACTTTTCCTTGCCTTTTCTCTGCGCATCTGTCCATCTTGGATTATGGTCAATAACCACTACTGTCATGTCCTTCCATTTGTGACCTTCAAGGTTGAAATGTTCCCCAACGGGTTCATTGAGTTTTTTGGTCCTAATGGTAGAACGGTGATTATTGACTCTCCTGCGGAGATCTCCTGTTTCACCAACATACTGTTTGGAGCAAACTTTGCAACTGATGAGATAAATGCAGTTGTCTGTTTGACAGGACAAATTCCCTAGTATTTTGTAGCTGCGGCCTGTAACGGGGCTGTTAAAACGGTCTGTGTCAGAGCTGTACTTACACAGAAGACATCTTCTGTCAGAGCAAGATTTAAAGCCCCCGTTAGGTAATGGATTGTCCAATCTGGTTCTTACTACCATGTCCTTTAGGTTCCTCGGGCGTCTGTATGCAGTTATCTGTGATATTACAGTGTACATCATGCATGGTGCGTTTCTTCCTTTTGAGATCATGTTTTCTTTTAGTGCTGTATGAGGACATATTACACTGATGCATTCATGATTCTACGTCTGATGACTCCTCAACTGCCTCTATTGTAGTCATCCATCCTTAAGAAATAAAAAAAAAATATATTACTTAAGGTTAAATGTATGTATGGACTGTGGTACTCAGGTGACCGTCAAGACTTGTGGATCTCTTGTTTGTTGAATTATATGCCAGTGAACATTCTCGTTTGAAACGAGCAATCAGTGATTACAATGACAGAGGTATTTTAAACTGTGTAATTTCAAACCTTACTATTTAAAAATAAAACTCCGAAACCTACATGACATTGTTTTGTAACTTAATTTTTAATATTTATCATTTCGGGAAATAATCATATCTCTTGTGGACTATAAACAAGGTACAAATGTTACATGCGTGTGGAAGTGTGAACATATGACTGCGTTCTTAAAATTTCTACTTACAATTTTATACAATTTTAATGCAAACAATTGACACTTATTCAACTGGATATGGTGAATGATAATTGCGTTAATTCATCATCTTTTGTTTCAAAAATCATGCCTACCTTGCAACTTAACAGGTGCGTGTTCTTCTCTAGGTTTGTTAACACGCTTCGATACGCAAGAACGTCCGCTAATTTTAGTATATACTGTGAGTATACCTAACGGACTTGATCATCAGAGCGGAAAATTATCCTGACTTCGACATAACGCAAATGATTTTAATGAATGGGTACACAGTTTTACATCGAGATAACCGGGGTATTCGACATTACTATGTTCGACATACATGTAGAGGGTTTATTGTAATTATTCATAGAGCAAATTTCGTTAGGACCGCGGCCTTACTTCGACTTTTCCTGGGTATTCGAGATATCCGTGTTAGAGATTTCGAAGTTTAGCGCTGTATATATATTTGTCACAACACTTTTTTTTTTCATTTCCTTCTGTATACTCAGAATTTCAACGCAAACTCAAGATAAGAAATACCTTGGGATTTTTCTTACAGAATGTTTCTGACTGTATAGACACTTACATGCTTTGTAATTTTTATCTTTTTGTTTCAGTTAAAAGACAAAGAGGAAGGATGGCGGGGTTTTCTTTATACATTTCAAACACAACAGAAATACAGGGTGGTTATCTATGTTACAAGGACGGACCAGAATTACCTCTCCTAGATATCACCAACATTTGCATCAATCATGGACGTTACATTATATTTTACAACGAGAGAATAAATGGGGAATCATATCCTGACAGTTACGAAAATATTGTAATAACTGAGTTATGTGAAGTGATTGTGATGGGTAATATCTTAATTTATTTCCGAGATAAATCATTAAGATCAATAAGTGCAAGTTATATAGTATATATACAACCTATGTTTTGTATTACAAGGCTGTCATAAAGGTGGATTTTATGGACAAAGCTGTGATCTTATATGTCCTCATCACTGCCAGGAAAGAAGATGTAATATAATAAAGGGAACTTGTCTTGGTTGTACGGCTGGCTGGATTGGAGATTTCTGTAATGAAGGTAGGATTCCAAATCCTCTGCCACGGGATAAGGAAGTAGACTGAGACAATTATGTAGTCAAAATTTCAATCGTAATTTTAAAATTTTAGAAAAAAAAAAACATTTATTGTATACTTTTTTAAAAACACTTTAAAGACGTACAACACAGCGGGGGACATAACTCTTGTGATTTTCATTCAACGTCTAACTTGACGTCAAATTTGACCTTAATTATAAAGCCTCAAAATGACGAGCGATAAATCCCGATGTTTTTTTTTTTTTTTTTTTTTTTTTTTTTTAATGAGATTCGGGGTTTGGATTGTGGTTTCCCTAATGAATACAAAGTTTTATCCTTTATTATTTGCGCATTTGCATTAAACTCCCTCCCTTCCATAAAAAAAGGAAAGAAAAATTATCCCTTAAATTTCTTTAATTCCATACGTAAATTGTATTTGTATTCATACCACAGCATTTTTTTAATCTGAAAAATTTTATGTCGCATTGCTTTTTCCGTTACAATTGCCTACATAATGTAACATTCAGATTACTGATCTTTCTCCTCATTATGCAAGTATTTTTTTTTTCTTTCTTTCTTTTATTAAAAAAAATATTATTGATACCGTTTTCTTGCAATTGTTTACTAAAATTAACTGAATATATACAATTTCTCATTGCGGCAAACTAGTCTATCTTCTTTTACTGTTAACGGTTTCACTTCGCATTTCCTCGAATAAAAACAAAACGTTTGATACCACTTATACATGATTATTCAGGCACTTGAATAATTTTAAGATAGATGAAGAAATTACATTGGATACATTGTGGGCTAATATATGGATTAAAATGTAATTTCCATTTTATTCACAGAAGCAACAAAAGGATGCATACAATATCGAGAAGGGGGATTACCGCCATTCTCTCTCTTGTTTAGAATTTCAAACTATATTTCTATACTATTAATATCTCTGGAGATTTGTATATACACCATTGTGTGCTCACTTTAAATAAATAAATAAATAATATTCAATTCAAGTCGAATTCATACACACATGTATGAAACTGAATGCATGTACAGTATATGACTACGAATTGAGACACGTGAACATGAAATTAAAAAATCCTTACAAATGAGCTTTACTAAATACAGAACGTACAAGTAGTCAATAGTTAATCTTGAATATATGAACATGGCATGAATGAACGAATGAGTACCTCATGGATTCGATAGACTAAATATATCTGCATATGTAACCGATAGTTCATGAAGCCCGAATGGTCTGCGTTTCAAAAAAGGGGGGTTAAAATTTCAGAAGTTGTCTATACATCTACATTTAAATGGACTTTAAAGTTCTGAGTTTGTGATAAAGCACAATGTAAATAACATATGAAAAGCAAAAGATATTTCCAGCATGGATTTTTATGTGTATTTGTAGATTCAAAGCATTGCTTTTTGTTCCAAAGCTGAAAGACGCTATGAGAAACGTGACTTAGGGAGAAGAGGGGGGATGGTGATTTTCCGCTAAAAATTCAAAACAAGTCGTTTAAAAATATAACGTAAAAAATATCAATATTATATTAGCAACTAACTACACGTAGAACGTTTTTTTTTTTTTTTTTTTTTTTTTTTTTTTTTTTTTTTTTTTTTTTTTTCAAAATTAAAAAATATCTAAATTGAAAAACGCGGGGTTTTTTTTCAAAGCTAAGATAAACAATAGTTTTTCAGTTTAAGTTCCTCAAAATTGTTTTCATCGATGTTTACCTCTACTAAATTACTTTATGGTGTGTTTAATGGTTAAAAAAATAAGTCTCTGAAATTTGACAGGTAGACCAACCTGGCTTTTTTGGAAATCAAGGATTATATAGTTCGTCGCTTAAAAATTTCCTCTTTTCGTGAACAACCAAAGGGTGGTAAATTTTGGACCTTCCTTTCCAAATACAACTCGAACGATTTTGTTCAAAATGTGCATACACATAGCTGATATAGTCATGTTTAAAATATACAAAATAATGAAAATTAAACGACAGGAATTTTTTGGGGGAAGGTGCGTTGTACTTCCTTAAATCTTATATATTTTCAATAAGCGAAATTTAAGAAAATGTACAAATCTTATCTTAAGTGTAGACATGCTTTGTGATCCTTGGGCTTGCTCTTGATTTTCAATGAAAACAGATATAAAAAAAAAAATTGATCTAGTTTGAAACTTAAAGAGTAAACTATAACACGTTTTATTTTATTTTCAATTAGCTTGCGCCTTTGGATACCATGGCATGGAATGTAAAACAAAGTGTACAGGTCATTGCCTGGGTGATGCTTCCTGTAATCACATTAGTGGACTTTGTGAACATTGGTGCGAGGCTGGATGGTTTACACCAACTTGTGATCAACGTAGGTATCTTGTTTACATTTCTTTTCTCAGCTTTCGTTACTGAATTAAACCAGTTTTTTACCTTCACATCTTGAATAAATATGAAAAGAAGGGCTACCCTTCACTTAGCTTTTCAACTACAAAATTAGAATAGAGTTTTATTTCTTCATCCTGTATAATGCCATTGACTTGCAATAGATAACAAATGAAGTAGCTATAGCTTGTTGGAAGCAACACATCATTTCCAACATTTTTACCTTATATATGGATGCAGAGATTGTCAACGGTATTTCTCCCTTTTGTGTGAATATTTTAAATTCCAAACAAGATGTGTTTGTGAGACACTGATGCCCCCATAAGACAGCTCATGGCGAAGGTTAAAGTTTCTCAAGTGCAAGTGGAACTCCAGGTCAAGAGATCAAAAATGTTGCCACCCAAAGAAACGTCTTGTCTTGAGGAATATACCTGTGAAAAATGAAAGCATTAGCACCAACCATTTAAAACTTAAGCCGAAGGTTAAAGTTTTTTTTTTTCAAAGTAAGTAAAATGGCATGGTAAAGTGGTGCCCAAGGGAAGGTCTTGTCACAAGTGATACACATCATCCTGAAATGTGAAAGCCCTAGAACCAAACGTTCAAATGTTATGGCCAAGGTTTATTTTTTAAAGTAAGTCAAACTACAAGGTCAATGCCAAAATTTTCGGTATCCAAAGAAAGGTCTTGTCATAAAGAATATTCATGTGAAGTATGAAAACTCTGACACAAACCGTTCAAAAGTTAATGCCAAGGTTAAAGTTTTTCAAAAGTAGGTCAAACTCCAAGGTCAAAGTCAAAGGGTCAAAGTAGTTGGTATCTTAAGTAATGTGTTGTCACAAGGAATGCATATAAGAAGTATTCAAAAGTTATGGTCAAGGTAAAGTTTTCAAAAGTATGTCAAACTCCAAGGTCAAGGTAAAAGGGTCCAAGTTGTTGGTATCCAAAGGAAGGTCTTGTCACAAGGAATGCATATGTGAAGTACGAAAATCCTAGCACCAACTGTTTAAATGTTATGGCCAAGGTTAATGTTTTTTAAGTAGGTTAAACTCCAAAGTCAAGGTCAAAGGGTAAAAGATAGCTGGTGTTCAAAAGGAAGGGATTGTCAAATGGAATACTCATGTGAAGTATGAAAATCCTAGCATTAACTGTTCAAAAGTTATGGCCAAGGTTAAAGTTTTTCAAAATTAAAGTAGGTCAAACTCCAAGGTCAAGGTCAAAGGGTCAAAGTTGTTGGAATCTTAAAAAAGGTCTTATCACATGAAATACACATATGAAATATGAAAGCCCTAGCTCCAACTGTTCAAAAGTTATGGCCAAGGTTAATTTTTTTTTCAAAAGTAAGTCAAACTCTAAGGTCGAAGGGTCAAAGTTGTTGGTGTCGAAAGGAAGGTCTTGTCAAAAGAAATACACATGTGAAGCTTGAAAGCCCAAGCACTAACTGTTCAAAAGTTATGGGCAAGGTTAATGTCTCATAAAATTTTTCAAAAGTGGGTCAATCTTCAAGGTCAAGGTCAAAAGGTGAAATATGACGGTACTCAAAGAAACGTCTTGTCAAAAGGGATACCCATGTGAAATATGAAAGCCATAGCTTCAACGAATCTTAAGTTATGGGCAAGGTTAAAGTTTTTGCGGACAGACATAGGAAAGGACAGGGCAAAAACTATTTGGTCACGAATCTTCGATTACGGGGGCATAAAAATAGGATTCCAAATTTAGGATTGCTTAGCTAAATGTTAGGAAATTTATAAAATAAAATATCAAAAATGCAATAAAGCAAATGATAGTTTCCTAAATCGTCAAAGTATTCATTATTCATGAATATGTTTTCGCCGAAATTTTGTGAGCGTAAAATGATCAACAAACCCTTAGTAAATAATGTAAAAGGCATGCAAATTCATTGAAAGGTCAAAATCCCAAAAAAGAACAGGCATAGGTATTAAGAGAGCATGTCAGTAAGCATTGAGCTTTATATGGAAAGTCAAAAATATGATTTTTAAAAAAAAAAAATAGTGTGTATGGATTATTTCTGTCGCAAATAACAAGAAAAATACAAAATTAATGATTTCAACCATAATCACTGAGTCGTATCCAAGGAGAAACATTTCCTTAGTTACCAGAACAATTTTTCACATTCAAAACAGGCAAATACTGACATAATTAGATGTATTTTTCAAGCAAGTGTCCTCAAAAGATGGTTTAAAATCACCTATTTTTTAAAGATGACTAAATTGATATCTCTACTTTGCCTGATTAAATTGGATTAAGTTCTTCTGTTATGTTGCTATGGCAATGGGAAAAAGCGACAAGTTTAGCATTGAAAAAATAGCTGAATTTTAGACATTTTTAAAAGGCATTTGACAAAAATCCGTACAACTGCTTATAAACTCTTTAATGAAATTTTGTAACTGTTTGAGTATACAAAAAAAATTAAAATGTAAAATTGGTTAGACTTTCAAAATCACTGTTGCCATGGAGATTCAAAGATATGCAAATTTGGGCATTTTAAGATGATTTCCTGTGAACAATTCAGATTACTAGAAGTAGTTTGTCCTTTCAGAAACAAGATAACCTTATTCCACATGGGTGCAGTTATAACAGGAAATGAGTCATGCACTACTTTGACCTTCTCCTCACTTTGACCTTTGACCCCAAGGTCAAATTATTCTGTATTATATATTCTATGTCTAATAATTTCTTAACTAAATCTACATGGTTCTTGATATTTTGAACTTTGCTCCAAATATTTCATACATTGAAATACAAGACAATTCAAGAAGATAAATTCATGCTCTACTGTTGACCTTGACTCCAATGGCAAGGTCAGTTAATTAATTGAGGTCAAAGTTAAAAATTTTATCTGTTATGACCTGTTTTTGAAATATATGTATTTGAAACATGTGCAAAGTAATGCATCATGAACAACCTTAAGTAAACACTAAATAATGATGCTTCAACATCAATTATGATTAAAATGACCTTGATGTTCCCTAAAATTTTCCTCCCCTGCACTATGTAAAATTTTAGCCCCATTCATACCTAGAGGTTGACAATCTCAGGGAAAAAAACTAAAATCCACATAAACTTGGGAATCTTTGCAAATTAGTTGATTTAGTTTGGTCTTGCTATTCTTGAAAAGAATATCTGAATATTTTTACATTTATTCTCATTTAGTCTCCATTTTATCCTCATCTTAACCCCTGGGACCACAATTAGTACACAATGACATCAGCACTACCCAAGAATATCTTGCATAATATGAAAAATCCTGGCTTCGCTTTTTTTTTTTTACTTTTTGCCTATATACTTTAATTCCCTGTTATGGTTTCATATTAAACCCAATGGCCATTATTTGATATATCAGGAAGCTTTCACATCTTCTTTTTCTTAAGATTTATGCAAATATAAATGACCCCACCCTATTTTTGGCTTTCCCTGATTATCTCCTCTTGGGAAGGAGCTTGGCCATTTATTCGAACGAACTTGAAATATGCCCCTTTACTAAAGGATATTCGGTGTCAAGCATGGTCCAATGGTATTTTCAGTAAATTTAAAGATGAAAATGCAGAAGTGTTTAAGATGATGAAAACAACAACACAAATTCTTTAACAGAAAAGCCCATCAAGTACAGCTATGGTCAATGCCCCTTTAAAAATTTCTCCTTCAATAGTTCCATAAATACACTACTGAAAGCACTTACAGGAGAAATCCAATGAAAAATCTATTTTATTTCCCCCCTCTGCTTATATCATTCAACCTCTTAATTCACATCAGCTTGAACTAAAGTCAATGTTTATTTAGACTAAAAATGATTCAACAAAAATTAATTTGACTATATTCATTAAAAACATCCTTAAAGTTCAGCCTACCTCCCCCTTTTTTTAAAAAATAAATTAAATGAAAAAAAAATATAAAATGACCCATTTGTAAAATCTTTAAAGGAGGCAGTTTCTTTAAAGTACTTGAATAATGCTTCAACTTTTGACAACTACTTCTTAAGAAAATAAATAAAATCAGAATTTTCTTCCAAGTCCCCGGTTTTAACTTGGAAAATCTTATTAGAACCAAAAATAGAATTTCAGTGGCTACTTATTCTTGCAAGTCCCATTTCCTAATGGCTCAAAAATACAAAAAGAATTCTCATAATTTTTCAAACGTCATTATATTATATCATTTAATATTCAGTTTATACACATATGAGGCTCAAAAACAATACCAAAAGTCCAAGCAAGTCCAAGGTTTGCCTGTGATTTGGGCACATACATGTATTAACTGTCTATATCATCCAAAAAAAAAAAAAAAATAACACATGCAATCCTCTATTCCTTCAGATTCAGTTCTGGGGATTACTGGTATGTGGTTATTAGACAGATAACTGATTTGGAACATGGTAAAACAAGATTAAACTCTAATATTGGTTCCGATCAAGATATGTTTCCTCCAGTGGCTTCTTTAAAGGAACAGGGTGTCATCTTCAACTATCTATAATAGCTGTAAAAATAACAAAAGTTTATGTATTAATACTACTGAATAAGTGATACAGTAGTAGATTAACACACTTGTACATCCTATCTTCTGTAAAGGTTGCACTTAGAATAGATTAACACACATGTACATTCTATCTTCTGTAAAGGTTGCATTTATGATATATGCATATAATTTCCACCATGCTAGTCAATGTTAATAAATACATGTACCATGAACCGGTTACATATATGTAGACAAGGGAACAATTCAGATATATGAACAAGTTGCAAAGTATATATAGGGGTTCTGGATTCTGGAGTGGGGGTGGGGTCAATTTTCATTTATTTATAGACAAACATTACTTAATTCCTCCTTCATATGTATGACTCTTTTGACCAAATAATGAGGTCTGGTTTCCTGAAGATGGAGGGGTGGTATGATAATTTTATTGATTACTTTATTATATACATTTTATAAACTTGGGAATTGTACCCAATAATTCATATTTATTTTCAATTCATA